CTGCCGAACTTTCCGCTAAGAAGTTCTCCACGCACAACATGGACCCCTTCCTGAAGGCACAAGACATCGATGACAACTACAAGCTGATCAGCGATGTTAAGAACTAAGAACTACAAGATTGGCGATGCGCAAGCTGGTGCAGATAGAAACCATGGCCGAGAGGCATGTTTTGGCCTAAATAGATCTAGAGCGATCAATGAGACACTTATCACCAGATTTACGTATCGACCTCTGAAGATGATAGGATGATCTACTCGGCCCTACTGATGCAAAGAAGGACCAGCAGTTCCTTACAGATCATCTCACATCTGTCTCAGCAGCGCTGACCTTAGCTTCGTCGTCAAGGCCTCCTCGCTTCCTGCAGCTGGGGTGAGAACTTTACAGCTCCACTCTATACAGCCCGTGGTCTTCCCCATCCATCTTTGGCGGAGGAATAGACAAAGTCTCCAAGGAAGTCACTAAGGACTCAGAGAAGTCCTTATGATCAAGTCGATGGACACGCTAGCCAGCGTCATCAGGCAGACTTCACAAAGATACTCAGGGAGATCTAAGTTCTCGGGACTACAGAAAGCGCGGGATAGGAAGATAGCCAGCGCCAGGGGAAAAGATTCTTTTAAATTAAGCCCATATGGCAACTATAGAGGAGGGTCAGGAAGAGGCAGGACACCCAGAGGTTCCGCAACTATAAGCAGCTGAAAGACAGGTTGGAGCGACTGGAGTCTTCCACCCCAGCCGTTCCAGTACAACCGTCACAAGTGGGTGGGCGCCTCCAACTACACTGGGAGAACTGGGGAATGTTACAAGACCCTTATGTCTCCAACATTCTTCAACCACAGTTTCAGTATCCCACTACAGGCCGCCTCCGCTGACAGTCAACCCTCACAAGTTAGACTTACAGGCACAACAACTACCAAAGTTAAGAGAGGCTGTTACATCACTCATAACCAAGCAGGCCATAGAAGTACTAGATCAAGTAAACATCAGAACCAGGCTTCTACTCCCCAGTTTTCCTAGTACCCAAGAAAAACTCCAAGGAGAAATACAGACTCATTTACAACATGAGCTTTTTCAACAGGAATTATCTCGCCAAACCACCAAAGTTTAGCATGATACACCTACCTCAGTTCACGGCAGTTGATTAAGCCCCATGGATTACATGGCCAGTATAGATCTGCAAGGCGCATATCTACACATCCCGATACATCCCGAATCCAGGAAATATCTAAGATTTACACTAGGCGGGCTACATTACCAATGGAAAGTACTCCCATTGAATATCATCAGCCCCCTGGCTATTCGCGAGGATAAGCGAAACCTATTGTCACCTATCTACATCGTCTAGGGCTCGCAGTGCGTTCTACCTCGACGGACGGGATACAAGTAGATCAAGATCCACAGCGTCTCAAACTACAGTTAAACTACATCATAAAGCTACTAACACAGCTAGGATGGTTAGTAAACTTACTCAAGTCGGACCTAGTACCATCGCCAAGATCTGCAGTTCCTAGGCATTCGATTTATCCGCGAATCTCAACCGTATCGTCGTACCAGAAGACCGTTGGCTCAAGATCCAACAGACCATTCCGCCAGCTCTACTCTCTCCGTTACCACTACGACAATGGCAGAGCTTGTTGGGTCTCCTCACATCAGCCCAAGACATGACAGTCAGAGGCAGATTACAGTTCGCCCGTTACAGGTCTTCATCAATGCACATCTCGGCGACCTACAACCATTCAGTCTACGAAACATCTCAGACCTCATCTACTATGGTGGACCAGGAGGTCGAATGTCTGCGAAGGTATTTGTTTAGCAGAGCAGAATTCAAAACCCATCTATATGTAGGCGCGTGGCTCCAAGGTTGGGGAGCTCATCACCGCCAACCGGACGGCATCAGGGTTATGGAATCAGCAAGAAAGCAAGCTCCATATAAACATGTTAGAGATGAAAGCTGTAATCAGCGCCATACTTCATTGGAGCACCATTCTACAGAATCGCGCTAATGATTCATACCGACAACTTCGACAGTGGCGTTCTATGTGAACAAACAAGGCTCAGCGAGATCACTGAACCTATTGACTTTAAGCTTTCAACTGTTCGATCTAATCCACGATCTAAACCTACATGTCAGAGCATGTCACATTCCGGAGCCAAGAATGTACTAGCAGGCGCTCTCTCTCGGCCACATCAACCGTCACCGACAGAATGGATGCTCAATACAGAAATATTTGCACAGATAATCAAGCAAATAGGGGCGCCGCTAGTAGATCTATTAAGCCACTGCGCTTCAACAATCAGCTACCGACATTACGTGTCACCAGTCCCAGACCCACAAGCATGGGCAGCGGGCGGCTCTAAGCATATCCTGGGAAGGCCTCAATGCGTGCAGCGTTTCCGCCGCCAGCAATAATACCTCAAGTGTTACAGAAAATCAGACAAACACAGAGCCTCCAACTCACTTTGGTGCGCCCTACTGGCCGGCCAGAGCGTGGTTTCCCATTCTAATTCAAGAAATCGGTCAACCAACACTAGAGCTACCCAAAGCTCAAATCTATTAATACATCCACACACCAAACAGGTGCGGAAGCCCAGAAGTATTCCAACTTCGCATTATGGACTGTATTAAAATGTGTTTAAACAAGAGAGGATATTCTACCAGGGTGACAAAAGCGGTCAACGCCTTACATAATTCTACCGCGTGGCAATGCGGCGACAAGTGGCACAGTTTTGAAAATTACGCAGCAAATAAAGGGATTTACAGCGAGAGATGCTACTCATCCACAAGTGGCAGATTATTTGTGTTACTTACGGCAAAACAAACATTTAAAAGGCTCGACATTGTCAACATATCTTGCAGCTTAGTTCTGTGATTACTATGAGAGCGGGTGTCAAATTGACTAAAACTCCAGAGTTACTGGCCTTACTACGTGCTTTCGATTGGAGGACCAAAGCGGAAGTTCCACGCCCCAGCTTGGGATCTGAATATAGTGCTACAACACCTCACAAGTGAGGCTTATGAACCGTTGGAATCGACAACTTTTGAATTTCTCTCACAGAAAGCGCTTTTCCTGTTATCTCTAGCCACAGCAGCCAGGATGTCAGAAATTCGCACTAGATTATGAGAGGATACAGTTTGATGACAATCAAAACACAGCACACCTGGGACTAAGATGGGATTTCATCGCCAAAAATCAACTACCAGGTCAACCAGACAGGTTATTCCATATCCCTGCACTATCCTCGATTCTCGGATCTCAAGATACACTGGACTTATCTCTATGCCCAGTCAGAGCTCTCAAAATCTATTCTGACGTTCCAAAACAAAGTGAAGATTTCTCAAGCGATTATTCATTCCTTGTCGGCAACAACTCAGACAGAAGTCTCTCGTACCACCATATCTATATGGATAAGAACTGTCATGCCAGCCTACAAGGCAGCAGGACTGGACCCTCCAACAGCATCAAATCCCCATGAGATCAGGGCATTGGCTTCCACTCTCGCCCTACGGTAACTGTTCATTGAATACAATTATGGAAGGATGCTTTTGGAAATCTAACATGGTGTTTGCTAATCACTATCTGAGAGATATCACCACCGAGGGCGTCTCAGGTATTCACCATTTCGGTCCCTTGGTCCTCGCACAGCAGTTGACAGTCCCTCGTAGCGTTAACACATAGTCTTACGAGATTAATATGCATAATTGATACATGCATTATCTAGCTTATAACTCTCACGGAGTTCTAGCACTATGTATATACTTAGCTTAGGTCTACTCACCCTTAAGCTTTTACTGATGATTATGTTCAGTTGTATAGCTTCTCTATCAGAGTGGCTTTGATATTGTTATTTGATAATATCACAGTATATTATTATTGTAAATACCCCAGTATGGCAAATATAACCTATGGCTTATAATAGAGGAAATATCCTAAGTCTATGCCTTTATGAAGTTCCGTGGGGAGTTATTACAGTTATATCTATATAAATCACTAATTCTATAAATCCAAAGTATTCTGTTTTGCCCACCTCCGTTTCCGTAGGATTCTACAAACAAAAGAGCATGAGTCAGGATAAGGAAAATATGTAATTTTTAGAGTAAAATTGATATTTTATACTTATCCTGACTCATGAAGTTGCTCCCTCCATCCTCCCCACATAACACTTTGGATTTCCCTGTAAATTCAAGTGTTGGGCTCGCAAAATCAGGAGAGAGTGAAGCATGAGGCCAGAGGGTGGCGACACCTGTTCCGCCAAAGGGCAAGGGAGGCAACTCTTGGTGAGTACCAATTAGTGATTTTACATTGAAGGGAGCTTCAATTAAGGAGATACAAGTGTTCCACTATGTTAAGAAGAAAGAAGACAAGCAAAGAGCATGAGTCAGGATAAGTATAAAATATCAATTTTACTCTAAAAATTACATATCAACTTAGTGTACAGCAATCAATATATTGTACAACAATCAACTTAGTGTACAGCAATCAATATACTGTACAACAATCAACTTAGTGTACAGCAATCAATATACTGTACAACAATCAACTTAGTGTACAGCAATCAATATACTGTACAACAATCAACTTATCAACTTAGTGTACAGCCATCACTATTTTGTACAGCAATCAATATATCAATATTCTGTACAACAATCAACTTAGAGTACAGCAATCAATATACTGTACAACAATCAACTTAGTGTACAGCAATCAATATACTGTACAACAATCAACTTAGAGTACAGCAATCAATATACTGTACAACAATCAACTTAGTGTACAGCAATCAATATACTGTACAACAATCAACTTAGAGTACAGCAATCAATATACTGTACAACAATCAACTTAGTGTACAGCAATCAATATACTGTACAACAATCAACTTAGAGTACAGCAATCAATACATTGTATTCATATGCTTGAACTTACACTTACAACAGTACTGGCACTAGGATCTCTTTGTAAAAGGGGGACATATTTGATATGGATGTCTGTTTTAGGTCTGTCAGCGAGGCTTGGATCGGACTGAACAAATCGGCATCACTGGACAACTATGTCTGGACAACCGGTAACCTGTTCCGTGGCTCTACAGATGGTCTGAGGATGGAGTGTGGCTACCTTTCAGATGATGACATCATTGACACTTATGGCTGTTTAGATAAACACAGCTTCATATGTGAATACACCCCAAACGGTGAGCAGAGTTAACTCTTGTCTAATTACAATCCCACCTGCCATTAACTGATCACCAATAGTCCACACACATGATATCGCCATAGTGGATCTGCAGTGCGGCCTATAATGCTGTAATTGTGTTTGAATTAGCTGATCATTATATAGTGCTCATGAATTACTTGACACCATGTTTAATATTGTTCATGTTTGTGTACACTAGCTTTTTATGCCCCGCCGCGTGTTTAGCACGAAGCGGGGGATATAGTATTAGGCTCTGTCCGTCCGTCAGTATGCACAAATTGGAATATGTTAAGAACCGTTGACTAGATTCTTGTCATATTTGGTACCTAGGTTCATCACAGTATGAGACATGTCCCAGTCAGGTTTGCTGATCTTGACCTTCATTGAGCTTTAACGTTTTACCCTTGTCAGTGAGATATCTCAAGGGGCGGTTGGGTAGCCTAGTGGTTAAAGCGTTCGCTCGTCACGCCGAAGCCCCGGGTTCGATTCCCCACATGGGTACAATGTGTGAAGCCCATCTCTGGTGTCCCCTGCCGTGATATTGCTGGAATATTGCTAAAAGCGGCGTAAAACTAAACTCACGCACGAGATATCTCAAGAACCGTTCACTGGATTTTTTTCATACACCAATCTTCATGTAGGGGAGGTGCAGAGCCCAGTCGATTTTGGTGACCATCACGTAATTTTCAAGGTCACAGTGGCACTTTGAAGATTTCAGCATGTTAACCTGCATGTTAAGCTTGTCAGTGAGATACCTCAAGAACCATTCACTGGATTTTCTTCATATTTGACACTAAGCTTTATCTAGGGAAGGCGCAGGGCCCAGTCGATTTTGGTGACTTTCACATACTTTTCAAGGTCACAGCAACACCTTTAAGATTTCAGCATGTTAACCTGCATGTTAAGATTATGAGCAAGCTATCTCAAGAAGTCGGTTCACTGGATTTTCTTCATAGACTTTCAAGAATTCTCTTGAATGTTTTTTGATAAGTAATTTCTTTATTACTACTTTTGCATATTTCATACACCATGACATTCATGTCAAGATCAAAGTGAGTCTTGAAAATATTTGTGTGTTTGAACAGCTACAGAGCATGTTATCAAGAGAGGTTGACTGGTCATGTTTTTGTCGACATTTAACTTCATCTTAAACCTCCGACCTTCACTTTCATTACTTTTAAATTTGATTTGATAATTTGCGACGGGGGATTATGTCACCTTAGTGACAATGCTTGTTGTATTTTAATTCATGGCAAGGTTTTCTGTGGCATTTTTATTAGCTGACCAAGTACAAGGTCTTGGTTTCTTTTATGTTTGCTTGAAATGGAAAGAAATTAGGCCTGCTTAAAAACTGTAACTTGTTTTCTGAATGCCTGATAAAAGAATTGACAAGGCTTCTGTTTCACTATTGCACTGAATGATGTCACTCAACTCAGCAATACCACATATTAGTGGTATACAGCTTCTAATCAGTCATGTTGAGCATGGTAATTGACTATTACAATTCAATTACGAAAACAGCACACCTGGCAAGAATTAAAACACAAATGAGAGTTATCTCCCGTAGACTCGTGAGTACAGTGTTGATTTTGATTGACCTGGGATCAATTCTCCATTGGTAACAATGTCTGTAGCCTATTTCTGGTTTCTCCCTCACTCACTCAATCAATAACTCCTTCACTGGTTTTCCTAAATTACTTCCACTATATTTCTGACAGTTCCACTTCCCCCATCCTCCCATCAGCCATATTTAACGTTGTCTTTTCTTCACTGCACATGTAGATTTCCTGTGTTCCAGATGTGGTGAGCGCGGAGGTACACATTGCTGGTAGTCTGGAGATGGAGGATGTGGGTCAGCCAACAACAGAGCTAGCCTCGTCTAACGATGCTGCCGTCTTATCATACAGCCTCATGTACATGCCAGGTCTGTCATTGTGTCAATAGATGTCTTCATTTGTTGTAAAGTGCGTCAGTCCTAAGAATGATCCTTGGTCTATTGGAACAATGCTTCATGTGTTTTGCTGAAACTTCCGGGACCTGCATCACACAGGTTGTCCTTTGAATCAGTATGGCGCACTATCATAATGAATGAACTGCTGTCTTAAGATCATCACCCACTGGAATGGTTTGTGTAGTGTATTTCAATATTATTTCAGGTCACTGGTTTACTGTGAGTGGCAAGGTTCTCTGGTTCACCTTCAGGGCTGAATCACTGCCAGCTGACACCCTCATCAAGTTGGTCATCTACCGCCCCAACTGCACAACAGACATTGAAAACAAGCCAGGTGAGTTATATACCTGTGCCTTAACGGCAGTGTTGTGTCACCAGGTTGAGGTCCATTGACGTATTGTACCTCCCGGGTGGGTCTGATTGGGGTGTTGTGTCACCATGTTGAGGTCCATTGATGTATTGTACCTCCCGGGTGGGTCTGATTGGGGTGTTGTGTCACCAGGTTGAGGTCCATTGACGTATTGTACCTCCCGGGTGGGTCTGATGGGGTGTTGTGTCACCATGTTGAGGTCCATTGATCGTATTGTACCTCCCGGTGGGTCTGATTGGGGTGTTGTGTCACCATGTTGAGGTCCATTAACGTATTGTACCTCCCGGGTGGGTCTGATTGGGGTGTTGTGTCACCATGTTGAGGTCCATTGATGTATTGTAAATCCCGGGTGGGTCTGATTGGGGTGTTGTGTCACCATGTTGAGGTCCATTGATGTATTGTACCTCCCGGGTGGGTCTGATTGGGGTGTTGTGTCACCAGGTTGAGGTCCATTGACGTATTGTACCTCCCGGGTGGGTCTGATTGGGGTGTTGTGTCACCATGTTGAGGTCCATTGATGTATTGTACCTCCGGGTGGGGTCTGATTGGGGTGTTGTGTCACCATGTTGAGGTCCATTGATGTATTGTACCTCCCGGGTGGGTCTGATTGGGGTGTTGTGTCACCATGTTGAGGTCCATTGATGTATTGTAAATCCCGGGTGGGTCTGATTGGGGTGTTGTGTCACCATGTTGAGGTCCATTGACGTATTGTACCTCCCGGATGGGTCTGAATGGGGTGTTGTGTCACCATGTTGAGGTCCATTGATGTATTGTACCTCCCGGGTGGGTCTGATTGGGGTGTTGTGTCACCAGGTTGAGGTCCATTGACGTATTGTACCTCCCGGGTGGGTCTAATTGGGGTGTTGTGTCACCATGTTGAGGTCCATTGATGTATTGTACCTCCCGGGTGGGTCTGATTGGGGGTGTTGTGTCACCATGTTGAGGTCCATTAACGCATTGTACCTCCGGGTGGGTCTGATTGGGGTGTTGTGTCACCATGTTGAGGTCCATTGATGTATTTTACCTCCCGGGTGGGTCTGATTGGGGTGTTGTGTCACCAGGTTGAGATCCATTGACTTATTGTACCTCCCGGGTGGGTCTGATTGGGGTGTTGTGTCACCATGTTGAGGTCCATTGATGTATTGTACCTCCCGGGTGGGTCTGATTGGGGTGTTGTGTCACCAGGTTGAGGTCCATTAACGTATTGTACCTCCCGGGTGGGTCTGATTGGGGTGTTGTGTCACCAGGTTGAGGTCCATTGACGTATTGTACCTCCCGGGTGGGTCTGATTGGGGTGTTGTGTCACCAGGTTGAGGTCCATTGACGTATTGTACCTCCCGGGTGGGTCTGATTGGGGTGTTGTGTCACCAGGTTGAGGTCCATTGATGTATTGTAAATCCCGGGTGGGTCTGATTGGGGTGTTGTGTCACCAGGTTGAGGTCCATTGATGTATTGTAAATCCCGGGTGGGTCTGATTGGGGTGTTGTGTCACCATGTTGAGGTCAATTGACGTATTTTCTTGCCTCACACATAAATGTCGTTTTCTGATTGGCTGAGCGTTCTTCTATTATTTTCAGTGTACCCCGCTTATAAGCGAGTAACATTTTCTATGTATCCCGCTGGCACTTCGTAGTAGTAATTCTTTATCTCGAATAACATTGAATCACGTATGATGTACGGAAATTATCGAAGTTTTGCCAATGCAAATTAATGGAAGGGAGATAACTCTTGTCGTCTGGTGCTCCATGCTATGATTCGATACCCATGCTTCAAGCAGTTCAAAATTACCATTGAGGTGTTCGGTAAGATAAATACATTGTTCACTGGTCCCTCGGGGCCCATGGGTTGATGTACCCTCGATGTTTGTTTATGTTCCCCTGAGCCCGAAGGCGGTGTTGTGTCACCAGGTTGAGGTCCATTGATGCATTGTACCTCTAGGGTGGGTCTGATTGGGGTGTTGTGTCACTTAAAGGGATTGATGAGGTGTATGTCAAGGCACCTAGTTACATATGCTGATACAAAACTGTTACATTGTTAAGGGATGTTTACACTATCACATTCATGCTACATACAATATCATAGGACGTTTACTTGCACTATCATGTACACGGCTATAGGATGGTTACATTGTTTCATACATTGTTCTAGGATTGTTACATGCATTGTAACTGTTATACACACTGTAGGATGGTTAATACATTGTAACATAAACTGTTATAAACACTGTAGGATGGTTAATACATTGTTACCTATTCTGTTATATACACTGTAGGTTTGTTAATACATTGTTACCTAAACTGTTATATACAGTAGGATGGTTAATACATTGTAACCTAAACAGTTATATACACTGTAGGATGGTTAATACATTGTTACCTAATCTGTTATATACACTGTAGGATGGTTAATACATTGTTACCTAATCTGTTATATACACTGTAGGATGATTAATACATTGTTACCTAAACTGTTATATACAGTAGGATGGTTAATACATCGTTACCTAAACAGTTATATACACTGTAGGATGGTTAATACATTGTTACCTAAACTGTTATATACACTAGAGGATGGTTAATACATTGTTACCTAAACTGTTATATACAGTAGGATGGTTAATACATTGTTACCTAAACTGTTATATACACTGTAGGATGGTTAATACATTGTTACCTAATCTGTTATATACACTGTAGGATGGTTAATACATTGTTTCTTAAACTGTTATATACAGTAGGATGGTTAATACATTGTTACCTAAACTGTTATATACACTGTTTCATGCACAGTTCTTTAAATGTTGCATAGTTTGTTACATGTGCTGTTGTAGGATTGTTACATACATTGTAACATAAACTGTTACACACACTGTTGTGGAATTGTTGCCTACAATGTGACAAGATTGTTTATCTTTTCAGGTTGTGGAGGGAACCAGTTCTTTTCCTGCGACAATAAAACCAACAGCTGCATCGGACGACCATCAGGCTGTTCCAGCGGCAATATGTGCTACTTGTTTAATGAATGTATCACTCAAAGTCAAGCCTGCAGCTGCAGCGGTGCCCACTCCGGAAGCATCACATGTGGCAGGAACCCTATCGTCACTGGCCGCACACCGGTCTATACAAGTGTCGGCCACACATCAGCACAAATCCCCAAACTTAGCCCTCTCCTTTACAAAGTGAAGGCCAGCATTAGAGTTCAACCTGGGGATTTCATTGGTGTGTTGTATCAGGGAAATAAACGCCCCATCAAGTGCATTACGGACACCGAATCTCAGTGGAGTCATCTCCTGTACTCAGTACCAACTGTGACGGGTGAAAATAGTGATATCCCAACATCCATCAGTCCCGATGAACATCAACTGTGCATGATCAATGCCTTCTACTCCAAAACAGAGACAGTCCCACTCCCATCCCAACTGGCTTCGCTACCTGAGATTGGTTTGTACACCTTCCAGTACAAGGTACAGAGCAGTGGCACTATTCAGACATGCAATGTGACAGCAGTAGAAGAGGTCGGCCAGATTGTGTGGGTGAATCCACGTCTTGTCTCCGGTAACATACAAGTCGAGCTCAATGACATTGCCACTCTGGTTGCCAAAGTTACCAGTGGGTCCCATCTGATATATGAATGGACAATTGGGGGCGTGAATGTCACCAATAATATGACCCTGACTGAAACCTGCCCTCCTAGTGTGGACAACTCATCGGTGAAGTGTTTAACCAACGATACGTCCCTTGTGAAACCATTCACTTTCATACAGCACACATTTACTGCTCCAGCAGAACTAAGACTGAAGGTATCAAACAAAGTGAGTACTGTGGAGAAGACATATTCCGTCTCCCTTGGTCCATGTATGCCGATACAGGGACTTCAGCTTTGTCACGAGAGCTGCCAGACACCAAGTGGATGCGCCGATCCATGTCAGCCGTTCATTAAGCCTGACGTCCCCACGTTCTTCCAGGTGATGTACACACAGGGCAGCTCAGACAGCACCTACACCTTCCTAGTGAATGGCACAGAGGAGTCCGGGACTCGTAACAGCAACCGGTCGCTAACATTTAAATCTACTGGATTCCATAGGGTTACTGTCAACATGACATGCGGCACCCATTCCGACACTGCAGGACTTGGTGTCCATGTCAAACAGGCTGCCAACGTTACAGATCTGAAAGTTTTGGTGCCAGCAGGAGTAGTTATTAATGAAAGTTTTGTACTGAGAGTAACAAGTCATGTAAATAACAACACCGACATTGAGATCATTGTTGATTTTGGTGATGGCAAGGAGAAGAAACATGTAAACCTTGTTACTTCTGGCAATAAGCTGAATGAAGCCATCGAGTACACATACCCCAAAGAAAAACACTACACAGTACGTGTCGTTGTTCAGGATGTGTACAAGAATGTTTCCAATTCTGCTTCGCTATATGCCTTAGCAGCAGTGTCGGCAACGGCAAGGGCCGTACCACAATATGCCAGGGTGGGACAGGAAATAGACTTCAAGGTATCGGCTGTACCAATCAGCGGAGACAGTGTCATGCTCGACAGCAAAATGTATTACAACTGGAGCTTTCCTGGAGACGAGGTCCGTATTGAGTCCGAGGTGCTCAACAGCTTATATAAACATAAGATCCATGTGCCAGGTACTTACAACATCAGTGTTAGTGCTAGCAACTTAGCCAGTTCATTTTACACTTACGTCATGGCCTACATTCAACAGTGTGTCACTGGTCTCAAGTTTCAGTACAATGGGCCAGTTCACATCAACAACACTGTCAACTTTACAGCATCGATAGCGGAAGGCACAGACGTTCGCTACAGCATGGATCCAGACAATGGCTCGGGAAGAATAAACCAAACCAATTCAACATTTCTTATCAACTTCAGCAGACCGGGGATTTACAACACCTCTGTGATAGCATATAATGATCTCACCAGCTGTGACTTGTCAAGGGAGGAACTTACAGCATATGTTATTGATGATGAAACATTATTCCTGCTGGACATCCTGCCAAACAGATGCTTGCCTTCAAAAGACCTGATGTTCTTGCTGCAGTAGCAATCAACATCAACCCAGCAGGACTAAACTATACATGGCGCTTCGGTAATGGTACGGAAGTAAATGGCAAAGGTTTGCTCAATGTCACCATTCTCTATGAGGAAAATGGCTCCTATGAAGTATCAATTTCTTCAAAGGGAGAAAAGTTTGTGAGGAATTTGTGTATACAGGAAGAGATTACGAACCTGACCATAGCTCCTCAAGCAACTATAGGCGTAACACCCGGGGAGACGACTATGGACAATATCACCACATCAGTCAGCACAGGATCTGATATAAGTTACGTGTGGACTGTTAACACAGATCAAACAGCAATGTGTAATCAGTGGTCGTGTGTCGTGGAGCTACAACATGCAGGGTCATATCATATCAAAGTCAATGCATCCAACCATGTGAGTTCTGACACAGCTAACATAGTACTGCAAGCCCAGTTCAGAGTCATCAACCTAACACTGACTTGCTCATCTTGTCGGATGGTGAAATACCAAAGTACATCCAAAGACGTTACCATGAGTGCTATTGCTGCCAATGCAACTGCTGTATCATACAATTATAGTTATGGAGGAGACTGGACCACTGATTCCTCCCACAGATTCCATAATGTCAGTACTTATAACGTCTGTGTCAATGCTTCCAATCTGGTCAGTGATAAAACAGCGTGCATGGATATTGTTACTCAGGATGAAATTAAATCTTTGACTCTGGCCTGGAATACATCCACCGAGGAAAGTGACTTTGAGGTGGAGGTTGGTACACATGTACAGTTCACAGCTAATTACACCAAAGGCACCAACGTGACCTTCACATGGTCTTGTGGTGATGGTCATAATATCGTGACGAACGAAGGGCCAGTGTTTGTCTGCCATTTTCAACAGTCAAAGAAACATTCATTCTCTGTCACAGCAGTGAATGAAGTGTCAAGCAAAAGTAAATCTATGAACATTTATGTCCTTCAGGAAATTACTAGTCTGAACATCTCACAAAACTTGTTTCAAGGACGATATGCTGCCACAAATGAAGGTGTCAACTTCACAGCACAGAGCAACACTGACTTGAATGTGGCGTACCACTGGATGGTGAAGTCGTCAACCGATACGTGTGAAGCTGCTGGGAAATCAATGGCAGGGCACTGCAATGACAAACACTTCACTGAAGCTGGACTCTACAATATCAGTCTGTATGCCAACAACTCACTCAATTATTTAGCAACCTATACTGAAATTGAAGTGATGGAAAGAATAAAAGGTCTGCAAATCAGATTTGATTCAAACGCTATAAGCGTGAACACAAGCACTGTTTTCACTGCTGAGGTGACAGAGGGTGAAAATCTTGTGTACCACTGGACGGTCAAAATTGGATCCTCAGCTGAATTACAAGGCAGCATGACAGGCACAATGACTCACCTCTTTGATGCAGTTGGGCAGTATGAAGTCAGCGTCAATGCCACTTCTAAACTGGAGCCTGAGGGTAGAAACAGTGGAAGCATAATCTACGTTGAAGAGATGGTTACTGATATTCAAATCCAGAGTGCTACACAATATGTAGCTCGTGGTTCAGAGGCTGTGTTTGATATTACCCGAAAGTCTGGAAGCAGCCTAAGCTTGACCTGGAACCTCAGTGGTCCGAGAACAACTGTTGTCAACAATGAGGTCAGCCTGACTCACAAGTTTGTCCATACAGGAGAGTATGCTCTGTCAGTCAATGCATCCAACCGCCTCAACAGTGACACAGACACGATGGCGATCTATGTAGAGGAGAAAGTGTTATCTGTCAGTATCACCGTCAACAAAAGTGTCATCAAGACTGCCACAGCCATCTGGTTCAATGCCGGTACAACTCCAGCAGGAATCTATAGGTACAATTGGACCATCAATGAAGAACAGTGCCACACAGATGCAGATACGTTTGACAAATTTTTCAACAGTTCGGGTATTTATGTTGTAAAGGTTTATGTGTACAACAATGTAAGCTTTGCTGTGGATTCTAAGGAGATAACTGTTCAAGACCCAATCTCAGGACTCAGATTTGATACATGCGAATCCAAGGTGACAGGTGAAGAAACAACAATCACAGCGTTGATGACCCATGGAACAGATGTTACATATTCCTGGGTCCATTCATCACCCGATGGAAGTACATCAACTGCAAAAGGTGAAGACCTAACTCTAGACTTTGAACATGAGGGATACTATCATATCGAGTTGTTTGCTGAAAATAATGTCAGCTCAAAACAAATAAACTGTACAGTCAAATCCCAAGGAAAAGTCAACATCACAGACCTGGTGGTGAAATCAGACAGCAAGTATAATTTTGTGAACCAGACCATTTACTTTGAGGTAAAGGGTGCTAACCTTCTTGATGTAAATAACTTGGGTGTTCAATGACAGTTATGTGAATAAAACTGTGGACAAGAAGCTCCAGAGGACGTTTCCATCATCGGGACTATATGTTCTTACTGTCACTGTCAACAATGATGTCAGCCACGATGAAAAGACAAAGCAGTTCTACATCCATGTCTTGGACTGTGAGCTGCCCAAAGTAGCATTCATCAGTACACTGCCGGACAAGATCCTTCGGTCGCAAAGCCTGGACCTGGCTGTGGCCATAAACTCCAGTAACTGTACAGAGTACCAGTCTAAACATGAGTGGCAGGTGTTCAGGGCTTCCAGCTGCTCTCAACTTACTGAAAAGATTGAACTTGGCAGCACAAACAGTCCCACTCTCCATGTACAAGCCAATACATTGCCTGTGGGATCTTACTGTGTAGTGTTCAATACCTCATATCTGGACACATTTGTGTATGAGACTGTGAATGTGAACTTTACGGTAGTGTCATCTGAACTGATTGCTGTGATTGCTGGAGGAAGTGTCCGTGTGGTGTCGCAGGATACAGACTTGAACATCAGCTGCCTGGACTCCCTGGACCCTGACATGGATGCAACAGCACTCAGTTGTAACTGGACCTGCAACAGTGTGAGTAACACTACATAGAGAATACTACACGAGGTCTCATTACATACGAATTATATGAAACGAGTGTCCTTTCTATGGTATCTGACCGAGCGAAAATGAGGTCAGAAACCATAGGCAGGTCACGATTTTCATATAATTCATATGTAATGAGACTGAGTGTGGTATTTTATTTATTACCCACGTCTTACATGCATTAAATTGACAAAATAGCATAGTTTTGTTATTGTTATGGTTTCAAACCGAAACCGGTTTCATAAAGAGGTTGCGGAAGAATTTTGTTCTGTAGTACACTTTTTGCATGACATCTCACTGTATTGACGTCACTAAGCCATTCTTGTCTGCCCCCTTGGTAACCGACGTCACGCTGAATGTCAGTTGCCATCGCCCCGTACAGCCTCCTACAGTAAACTACTCCACTAGGACCCCGTTTCTTGGTTTGCAGTTGCTTGACTCGGCTAACATCACTGGTGGAAACATTGTGTTTATGTTTTCAATAGATAAAATGTCTCAGTTCAACTCACAGTTAAACAGCAATACGGCAACATTCACAATGTTTACATTCCCACAATGCATATAAGTTGTAGAATGAATGAATTCACGTGTTTCTCATGAATGAACAAGTAGTTCTGTCCCAACGTGACCTGAGTGAGAGGTGATTGGTTATTCAATCAAATTGTTAGAATCTCAGGTCAAGTCGTTACGACACAGGTGAACACGATATGACACTCGTGTGATGTACAAGATTAGTATGCAACTACCCATACATTGACCACGTGGGTAATAAACTTTGTTTTCACATGAGAGAGCTTGGGTGCCAGTCTAATGACTTAAGCCCATGTGTTAAATGTTTAACTTTTGCTTCACGAAAGACTATTTGTCACTTTATTCTGTAGCAGGCCCAACTCACTCCTTGACCAAATGAATCAAGATCACAATCTCTCCTCTTGAAGATGGAGATTACAGATTATTGATGTTGCATAAGTATTGAGGGAGGCTGGTTTGGGTTGCTAAAGTTTGAACTCGCCTGAGGGTTCCTCGTGAAAACAGGCAACCTAGTCTGAAGTATACCCCAGGAAGGTCTGACCTATACCAGTGTTTACCTTTGAAAAGGTTTAAGCTCACACAACATTTTATTTTGAAAGTTTTCACTTGGGCAAAGTCACAGGTTCCATCAAGGTTAATGTCCAAAAGATGTTTGAAAGCAAGGTCAACCTTTCCCTGCTAAAGGTTTCAAGATGCTCTTTCTGTCAAAGTTTTCTCTGTGAAAGGCTACAAGTAAAAGTTCAGTTGTGAAAAATTCCATCTAGGTCTGAGTTTCACTGTGAAAGATTTCATCCAGGTTAAAGTTTCACCTCAGCAAAGGTTCCTTATGGTTTGGCTTGCTACACTAGTCATAGTATCTGTGAATGAATACACTCAAGATGGATGTCACAATCTCTGTACTGTGTAGTGATTTAGTGGAAGCTGTATTCCAGACACTGTTTCATTCCAGAATACATCAGAACCATGCCCCTTTAACCCAAGAGAGGACTCCAACTTTCTGACCAGCTTTTCTTCTGGAGAATACACTCTGGAACTGACAGTGACAGATGCTACATCTGGGAGATCAGCAAATACATCACAGATGGTATACCTGTTTCTTATCCTGTACACTCTTGTAGGAGTAATGGTTTGTTGTAGGAGTAATGTTTGTTGTAGGAGTAATGCTTGTCGTAGGAGTAATGCTTGTCATAGGAGTAATGCTTGTCGTAGGAGTAATGACAATGACAATTTATTCAGTATGGAGGCCACATGGCCTAAAGTACATTGAATATACAGAAATACAGTGCACAGTGGTGTACAATGTGGAAGATTGAGTACTGTAGAGTCGATATACTCAGACTGGCAAGTTTTGTTTCAGGTAGATACTTAAAGCTAGGATGTGATCCTCGTCATTGATGTCAACAACTGATAATATTTAGCATGTGATGGGTTAACATGATAGTAGGATGGAATAATCTTCTTGCGGCTTTCAGAATAATAGGGACAGATAAGCAGCAAATGATACTCATACTCAATTTGCTGTAATACGCACTTACAAAGTAGTGCATACTAACATTCTTCTCTCGGCAGTTTTATCAAACCGATACTGTTGAATACAGTAAAATACCTTTATGACGAACTCCAAGGGACCACTGAAATTAGTTCGTTATATCCGTAGTTCGCTATTCACTTGTTTATATGATAATATAAGGTTTATTCGGGACTTTTAAAACAGTTCGCTATAGCTGTCAGTTCGTTATATCCGTGTTCGTTATAAAAGTATTCTACTGTATTTAACTTACCCCTGGTATGTGAAAGACAACGAAACTTACATAGAATTCATCTCAAATCGTGTTTGTCAGCAAGTGAGGATAAGTATTTCTCAGGAGTTAACAATGATTTCACCTCAGAGTAGGCACCCAGGAAGTGTGAATTACTAATCTTATAGTGCCAATCTTGAAATTGAATATCTTTGCAACGATGTTGAAACTGCTGAATAAATATGTCAATATGCCCAACCTTGTTGTAGGAGTGTTGGTTTAGATGGAAGGAATGTGGTAAGTCTGACTACACCGACTGCTCTGTATACCGCTTGTTTAAAAGAAGGAAGATTTTGTAGAAATGTTTAAATAATGTTTCAAGTTCAGTTTGTTCAAAGGTACCATCCTGTTGACAGTTTCATCTTTCTATTGCCAACATATGGTATAGTTCAAGATACAAAAGACATTTTCTCAACTTGATAACAATCCTTATTATTGCTGATGCTTTGTAATGTTTGGACAAGTTATGAATGTTTCTTCCTGTTCCAGATCACTGTTGTCCCGGAGACAGTGCCTTCCTTGACCATCAAGTGTCTCAGTTGTTCCCAGACTGGTTCCATCAATGCCAATCAACAGGTGGTACTCTCCTCACAGTGTTCAAACTGCAAGACAGACACCAACTTCACCTGGACTCTTGAGGTGGATGGAGAAACTCATCCTCTGAATGACTCACTCATATTGACGTCACTCCATGGGCCCAACCTTGTGATCAAACAAGGAGTAATTCCAGTGGGATCTAATCACACGGCTAATGTCAGCAAAGCCTTTCCATTAATCAGTAAGGCAGGATCCAGCAGTTTGAAGCTCCATGTAAACCAGGCTCCATCTGGAGGGAGCTGCACAGTCACGCCAACAACTGTCCAGACCCTTCAGAAGGTGAAGGTCAGTTGTTCAGGCTGGTCAGACAATGACAACACAGCCCAGCTCTTCTACAAGGTGATAGCCACTGGGACCAGCAGCACAGGCACAGCGGAGTCATTTCAGGTGTACTATGGCATCAACAGGGAGCCGACCTTTCACCTGGCCTCCTTTCCAGGGTCAGACAAGGTGACCTTGGAGGTGCAGGTCATGGACAATGCTGGGGCTTATGCATCAACATCAGCAGGGTAACTATGTCTCTATAACTGATTGCGGCAACGATATTCGTGTAATTGGTTTCAATGGTTCCTACTGGGCATTTTGTTTTTGCCTCCAGGTTGATTGTACAGTTCATGACATGAGGCACCTGATAGCAACCTGGCATATAGTTCACATATGATGATGATCAATGTTTTTAACATGAGGTTTTCATGTCAATTGTTCAGCAGTGTACATCAACACATGTTATTCAGAAAATGTTTATATTTCCATGTTTTTCAGTTTCTAATTCAATTTAGTACAGTTAAATGTAAAGGTAATCGAACTACAAGGAAGTTTTACCTTCGAACTGCTTATTATAGGAGAGTTGTATCCTTGTTTTGTACCATACCTGGATCAGCCTGGGCAGTGTCAGTGTTCTTGATAAATGCATGATAATGCTGAAGTTGAGTTGTGACATGAGTAGTTTTGGGATTCAGGGACTGATATATATATAATATACAGTTTGTCTACCTTCTCTTACCTCCCCATTGTCTGTAACCACATCTCTCTGCAGCATTCTCACTGTGAAGACCCCGGCCAATATGACCGACTACATATTCAAGCAGGCTCAGTCTATGCTGCCAGCCCTGATCAAACAGAACAAGCCATCACTACTTCTGCCTTACGTCATAGCCCTGAGTCAGGAGCTCAACCATGAGTCAGATGTTATGCCCAGCCTCTTGTCCAAGGAGAAGAGGGCCACCATCCGGGACGCCATCACCATGACATTAATTGCAATCCCCGTCACCATCCTGGAGGACGTGCAGCAGGTAGCCTACCTGCTCCAGCTGCTGACGGTGAGTGGCATCCATTACTGGCTGTAGCAGCACACTGTGGATACCAATATAGATTGTAGTTCCTGTGTGGCTGTTACAGATAGGAATCAGATGCTTAGAACTGAATGCTTGCTATTAGTGTAAACTGAAATGGTGGTGAGATCAGATGACTCTGACTTGAGATTGCCTTTCCTACAAGCTGCCTTCCTACTGCTAGTTTATTATTTACTGCAACACACAAAGTGACCATCAGATCCTGTCGACTGACTACAGTAAACATTATCAGTTTTAGAACAAGTAACATGATTACAAATAATTTCCCAAAACAGACAAATCGATCATGTGCGAAATATGCATCGTTTTGGAAAGCGCAATTCTACTTCACAACAAAAAATACTGAAGATTGGTAGAAATTCCTTTTTTTAAATGTCCACTTTTGGTAATTACATGTAAGATGTTAAAATCTTAGGGTGCAGGATTATTATGACAGTGTTTTCTTGAGCTTGTCATCCTGACAAGACCAGTGCCATTGTCTTGTATCAATACTCCACTTGTCAGAGCAAGTCAGCAAGCAATGTCATCATCCTTATTCTGTGATCCCCCAAACTTTGCTTCACTGAAGTGAGTGTAAAGGTGTAATATTATTCTTTAATAATGTAGACAATTGTGATAGAGGAAATGACCTGGTTGTTTATTTTTCAGAAATACTTTGATGAATACCAGACAGAATCTTGTCACCTTGTGATTGTTGAATCTCTGAAGAACATTACAAATGTACTACAAGCCAACGCCTTCCAGGGACGTAACCAGGAGGACTTTGTGCCACATCATCTCCTCGCAACCATCTCCAACCTGATCGAGGCTGTGAATCTCGGCGTGTACAACCCTGATGCTGTGTCTGGATGGGAGACGTATCCAGTCCAGGACTTCTACAGAAATTTCATTGACCTGCGACCTGAGATCAGCTCCACCTTGGAACAAGTCATGTCTTCCCACAGTCCAACCTTCACGGCCACAGATGTCAAACATAGGAGAACTGTCATCCCAAGTGCCTTTGAAATCGCAGAACAGATCATGACCACCATTCTCATGACAACGATGTGGAAGCAGCATTCAATGAAGATCAACCTTGGTGGTATCGAGGTTCATGGCCAGAGATCAAAGGTCAAGGAAATTTGGTCCACGCTTGAGCTAGAAGGATGTGAATTTCATCTACCAGCAAATCTGTTTAATGGAATCATTGGAGAAGAAGAAGAAATCTTCCAGATTATGTTTGTGTTGTCAAAGAACCCCTTCACATGGGGTTACATCAACAACATGACAGTCAACTCAAGAGTTCCCTCCCTTAGCTTCAAGTTCAACAATGGAAAACCCATCCCACTGCAAGGACTACCAGAATCCAAATACATTAATATGGTCATGTATGAAAACATTGTCCAGAGCAACAAGACACAGTCAGCTGAAAACAGCAGTCTGTCCGACAGCATCCATTACAAACCATTAGCTAACCTTGACTACACCAAAGACACTGTCAAACGCTCCAAAGCTAAACGTGTCAACTTTGACGTCTCCACTGGAGCTGACGGAGCCTCAGGGCTCCACATCCAGGTGAGGATGGAAGTTGTGGCCAATGCCACTGAGGAGGAGGAAGGGGTGGTGCCCCAGGGGTCTCTGAAGGTGTATCTGGGGGACAACTACCTCCCAACCCAGAGCACATATACTGACTACAAGCTGATCTCTACATCAGATATGGCTGACAAGGTTGATCATCGCAAATACACATTCTTCATAACATCAGAGTAAGTCTAAATACCTTTAGTGTTCCTGTTCTTGTTATGTAGTGTTACTGTTCTTGGTATGTAGTGTATGTTCTTGGTATGTAGTGTTCTCGTTCTGTAGTGTTCCTGTTCTTGTTCTGTAGTGTCTGTTCTTGTTATGTTGTGTTCCTGTTATGTAGTGTCTGTTCTTGTTATGTTGTGTTCTTGTTCTGTAGTGTTCCTGTTCTTGTTCTGTAGCATCCTCGATAATCTCCAGGGTATACGTTACGATCACTCTCCACTATACCCTGGATGCATCCACAGCTTGGGGCGATGATTTTATTACCTCCCTTTGCTGGCTTTTTATCCAGTCAGGTGCCTACGCTGGGAAGTTGAGCGTACCAATCACTACTCACTTTCGCGTCTTAAATTATCTAACCGTTTAAACTTGGCAACACAATTGATGCAGAGGTACTCTGAAAGAAGTAGAAGGAGTTCTTTCATATATTCTTTTTAAAGTTTCGGATCTGTGAATTTGTCTTTATTATTTCCCCCAAAATCTGAGTGGCACTGCGAACAAACCTTTGCAACTGCGACCGCAATCTTTGTTGACACTGGCAAGCTCGGTTGTAACGGTGGCTTAGCTGATTGGCTACTGTGAGAATGCGGAGCCAGCCAAGGGAGGTAATAAAATCATCACCCCAAGCCGTGGATGCATCCAGGGTATAGTGGAGAGTGATCGTAACGTATACCCTGGAGATTATCGAGGATGGTTCTTTAGTGTCTGTTCTTGTTATGTTGTGTTCTTGTTATGTTGTGTTCTTGTTATGTTGTGTTCTTGTTATGAGGGGCGGAAGGGTAGCCTAATGGTTAAAGCGTTGACTTGTCACGCCGAAAACCCGGGTTCGAATCCCCACATGGGCACAATGTGTGAAGCCCATTTCTGGTGTCCCCTGCCGTGATGTTGCTGGAATATTGCTAAACTCAGTCAGTCAGCCTTGTTATGTAGTGTCGGTTCTTGTTATGTTGTGTCTGTTCTTGGTATGTAGTGTTCTTGTTATGTAGTTACGGTTCTTGTTATGTAGTGTCTGTTCCTGTTATGTAGTGTCTGTTCCTGTTATGTACTGTCTGTTCTTGGTATGTTGTGTCTGTTTTTGTTATGTAGTGTTCTTGTTATGTAGTGTTCTTGCTATGTAGTGTCTGTTCCTGTTATGTAGTGTAGTCTGTTCTGTTGTGTTAAGTGCCTGCTCTTCTGTTATTATGTAGTGTCTGTTCTTCTTATGTTGTGTCTGCTCTTCTTATTATGTTGTGTCTGTTCTTGGTATGTAGTGTTCTTGTTGTGTTCTGTTGTTATGTAGTGTCTGTTCTTGTTATGTAGTGTCTGTTCTTGTTATGTAGTGTTCCTGTTCCTGTTATGCAGTGTCTGTTCTTGTTATGTAGTGTCTGTTACTTGTTGTTATGTGTTATGTTCTTGTTATGTAGTGTTCTTGTTATGTAGTGTCTGTCTGTTCTTGTTGTCTTGTTATGTGTCTGTTCTTGTTATGCAGTGTCTGTGTCTTGTTCTTGTAGTGTCTGTTGTTATGCAGTGTCTGTTCTTGTTATGTAGTGTCTGTTGTTTTGTATGTAGTGTCTGTTCTTGTTATGTAGTGTCTGTCTGTTATGTTATGTTGTGTCTGTAGTGTTTCTTGTAGTCTGTTCTTGTTATGTAGTGTCTGTTCTTGTTATGTAGTGTTCTGTTATGTTATGTAGTGTTCTGTTCTTGTTATGTAGTAGTGTTAGTGTCTGTTCTTGTTATGTAGTGTTCTTGTTATGTTGTTGTTATTCCTGTTATGTGTGTCTGTTCTTGTTATGTAGTTCTGTTCTTGTGTCTGTTCTTGTTATGTAGTGTTGTGTTCTTGTTATGTAGTGTCTGTTCTTGTTATGTAGTGTTCTTGTTATGTAGTGTTCCTGTTCTTGTTATGTAGTGTTCTGTTCTTGTTATGTAGTGTCTGTTCTTGTTATGTAGTGTTCCTCTTTTGTTATGTAGTGTCTGTAGTCTTGTTAGTGTAGTGTTCTGTTCTTGTTATGTGTAGTCTGTTCTTGTTATGTAGTGTCTGTTCTTGTTATGTAGTGTTCCTGTTCTTGTTATGTAGTGTCTGTTCTTGTTATGTAGTGTTTCTGTTCTTGTTATGTAGTGTCTGTTCTTGTTATGTAGTGTTCCTGTTCTTGTTATGTAGTGTCTGTTCTTGTTATGTAGTGTTTGTTCTTGTTATGTAGTGTTTGTTCTTGTTATGTAGTGTTCCTGTTTTTGTTATGTAGTGTTCCTGTTCCTGTTTCTTGTTATGTTCTTGTTATGTAGTGTCTGTTCTTGTTATGTAGTGTCTGTTTCTTGTTAGTGTGTCTGTTCTTGTTATGTAGTGTCTGTTCTTGTTATGTAGTGTTCCTGTTCTTGTTATGTAGTGTTCCTTTTTGTTATGTAGTGTTCCTGTTCTTGTTATGTAGTGTTCCTGTTCTTGTTATGTAGTCTTCTGTTCTTGTTATGTAGTGTCTGTTCTTGTTATGTAGTGTTCTGTTCTTGTTTGTTATGTAGTGTCTGTTCTTGTTATGTAGTGTCTGTTCTTGTTCTAGTTCTTGTTATGTTAGTGTCTGTTCTTGTTGTAGTGTTCTTGTTATGTAGTGTTCCCTGTTCTTGTTATGTAGTGTCTGTTCTTGTTATGTAGTGTTCTGTTCTTGTTATGTAGTGTCTGTTCTTGTTATGTAGTGTCTGTTCTTGTTATATGTAGTGTCTGTTCTTGTTATGTAGTGTTCCTGTTCTTGTTTGTAGTCTGTTAGTGTTCTTAGTGTTCCTGTTATGTAGTGTTCCTGTTCTTGTTATGTAGTGTCTGTTCTTGTTATGTAGTGTTCCTGTTCTTGTTATGTAGTGTTCCTGTTCTTGTTATGTAGTGTTCCTGTTCTTGTTATGTAGTGTCTGTTCTTGTTATGTAGTGTTTGTTCTTGTTATGTAGTGTTCCTGTTAGTGTTCTTGTTATGTAGTGTGTCCTGTTCTTGTTATGTAGTGTTCTGTTCTTGTTCTGTAGTGTCCTGTTCTTGTTGTGTTCTGTTGTTCTTGTTATGTAGTGTCTGTTCTTGTTATGTAGTGTTTGTTCTTGTTATGTAGTGTTCCTGTTTTTGTTATGTAGTGTTCCTGTTCTTGTTCTGTAGTGTCTGTTCTTGTTATGTAGTGTCTGTTCTTGTTATGTAGTGTCTTCTGTTCTTGTTATGTAGTGTTCCTGTTTTTGTTATGTAGTGTCTGTTCCTGTTCTTGTTCTGTAGTGTCTGTTCTTGTTATGTAGTGTTTAAGTATATTGAAGTGTTACAGGTGGAATGAGGTTTGGGGGTCCATGTAAAATTAGCTGCTCATAAGGGCCCCTGCTCCTTTATTGTTCATGCCTGGCACACATTAGTGGCCAACTAAAACACACCAGTCTGAAGCAAGGCGTGTGTCAAATTCTTAGTAACCCATTCTTTTGAAACACTGAAATTGGCTGAAATTGTTGACATTTTTACTGCTTTACTCCATATACATTGTGTAGTAAACTGGTTTATTAGTTTCGATGGTAACAATACCATTGTACAAGTAATGTGTGGTTGACTTGTGACAGTACCCATGTAGAGAGGTACTGGTGTGTTCAGAAAGAGTTGCTGCAGTGTTTATTAATCTCTGACCATTGTAGAAGCAATGCAGTACAGTTACAGTAAGAAACCTGTCCAGTTTTATATAGTGGTGTTTATGAACCTCTGACTCTCTTTCTTCCAGTTCCTTCAAGAGGAACAGCCACTACACCCTCAGTGTGTACAACGATGATGCCTATCACGACATCAACATCTCCATTGCCATCTACCTATCCAGCTGCCAGTTTTTCAACACGGAGGACATTGACTGGGACAACAGTGGCTGCCAGGCGATGGATGAATCAATCACCACCCGTACTTCATGCCGATGCAACCACCTGACATCGTTCGGCAGTAGTATGCTTGTCCCACCTGGCGCTATAAACATCGTAGACTTGGTGGTGCGTTCACTTCTCGTAGCTGTAACCTCTGGTCAAAACCTTGACTTGTTGATTGTTGTTAAAATAGCATTTCATGGTCTCTATTGTATCATCATCAAATGTTTTGAATGTCTTTATCTTCAACAAAATATATTAGATTTGTATTTTTGTTTAAATGCTGTAGGCTAGAGGTTTTGAATGCAATTTGAACACAGAATATGAAGTATATATACATTTGTATTGATTGTTACAAAGATAAGACTTAGGATGGTGATTCAGACATTATTCAAATACAACATCCAGGGAGAGGGGTCAGATATATTCTTTGATCCGACAATGGTTAAACTGAAACTCCTGGTTTGCTGAGGCTTGAGGATATATTAATGATATCTTTAATTAAACTATTTTCAGAATTTAGACCTGTCAACAAATCCAGTAGTGATGATTGCTGTCAGTATCATCCTGTTTGTCTATATCATCGTCGTATTAATCTGCCGAAAGTTGGATCGAATGGATTTGCAGCGAGTGACCAGAATCCCCCTGTGTGGCAAGATGGGTCGCTATAAATATGAGGTCACTGTGGTAACTGGACGCAAGATGGGAGCAGGTGCTTTGTTATTTGTATTAAGTAAATTAAAGGTCCCCAACTGAGATGCTTGTTTTACCACTCAGGTTGTTGGTACAGATTAGCTCCACAATATCCATGCTTGTCTCAAAACGGGGATTGTTGTAGAGAATGCGTCCCATGTTTTTCTCACCTTTAGGATTCTAGTATAAAGTATCCTCAAATACTTGTGTATGTCACCCACTTAGATTCTGGGCCACTCCAGTGGCATTGTTTGTCTCATTGCTTGTCTCATTATTCCATGATTATTGGAATAGCATGACAGCCCACATTCCTGTCTCACCATTTCCATCTTGGTATGGAATAGTTCCTCAGTAACCATTTCTGTCTCCCCACTGAGGACAGGTCTGATGTGCACAAGCTTGTCTCTGTATTGAGAATAGGTCTCCAGTACCCTCTCATATCTCTGTATTGAGAATAGGCCTCCATTCTCCATGCATATCTGACCATGGGGACCCTGCCCCTGTGCTTGAAGAATATATGCTCATCAGTCACAGATATGGTTTCATGGGGACAATATATGAAGGTACCCTTGTTTCTTGTAGGAACTGACTAATATCGGCATTTGGTACATTTGCCATCCAACCCGGATGCTGTTGACTGGGTTGGATTCATCAAATAGGTTCCCTGCCTGGAGGGGTATGGGTACCATGTAACCCTCCAACCAAGTCCCAGAATAATTCTATATATACTGTAAAGCTGATATATTTGAACCAGACTTTGATCATGTCAGGTTTCTGTAATACTGCTGTAATTGTACTTAGCTCCAGACTGATGGCAAGGGGGTTATTGTCAGGTGGAAAGTACAGCTGTAACCTTGTGCCCAAAATTCCAGTACTAGATTTTCCAGTTATTGTTTATGAAAAATGCATTATGACTTTAAAATATTTTGTGTTTTCAGGCACAACTGCACACATCGGCATTAAGCTGTATGGTGAAGATGGGAAAGGGGAGATGAGACATCTGACCAAACTGGCTGCCTTCCAGCGCAACTGTACCGACAAGTTTCTCATAGCCTATGACACCAGGCTGGGTGATCTGAAGAAAATCCTCATCTGGCATGACAATACAGGGTTGTCCCCCTCCTGGTACCTCAGCCATGTTGTCGTCAGGGACCTCAGTGATGGCACTCTTGGTCACGGCAGGACATATTACTTTGTGGCAAACGCATGGCTATCAGTTGAGATGGAACCAGGACTTCTCAAGAAGGAGATTCCAGCAGCCAATGAGCTGGCAATTCAAACATTCTCCAATACCTTCAAAATGGCGGCTTCACACGGTTTTGCTGACAGACATCTATGGATGTCTGTGATGGATCGCTACGACCATAGTCGCTTCACCCGCGTCCAGCGCGCTTCCTGCTGTGTGACTGTCATCTTGTTCTTCATGATGGTCAATGCTATCTGGTATGGGATCATCAAGACAACCAGTGATGCCAAAGCAGACTATTCCTTCTCATGGGAAGAAGTGGTCATTGGCCTTGTGTCCAATGTCGTAGTGCTCCCAGTAGCCATACTGTTGGTGTTCCTGTTTAAATCAAGCAGATCAAAAGTAAGTCGCTGGGACTGGTTTCACTGTTTGACTTCTGCTTAATGACTGACACAAGAATTGCAGCTTTCTAGTTCAGAAAAATGTCACCAGTACCAGTGCTTGTCATAAACATGAACTCAAATGAAATTTAGATGCAAAATATGGTACAGTTGTAAGACCAATCCCACCAGCCCTACAGACCCTCTAATACATGACCAATTTAATACATGACCAAGACTTTCTTACTTATAGAAGTAATATCATTATTTTTCCTTATCCTGACTCATGCTCTTTTGCTTGTCTTCTTCTTCTTGCGAACACAGTGGAACACTTGTATCTCCCAATTGAAGCTCCCTTCAATGTAAAATCACTAATTAGTACTCACCAAGAGTTATCTCTATCCCACTCCTTTGCGTGGGAACGAGGGCGCCACCTCCCGCCACATGCCTCACTCTCTCCTTCTTCGCCCAGTGAGCAGGATGTGAGAGCGCCTGTGTCTCCCTACACATTATATCCTTTGTTTATTCTTAGTTATTTACCTCTCATAGACTTCTATAGAGGTGTAGCTAGTATCCTTCAACATAATGCATTGATATTTATTCGTGTTTCTACTGTTTTAATCATGGGGACTCCGTGTTTGTTCAGATAGATTGCGTTGATGAAAATCTGCACTATTTGTAAATTACGTTTTTCTGCTGCTGACCCGCATTTAATATGCCCTAGTTGTACTACGCCATGCTCTACCGTTTCACGTTGCAATTATTGTATTAATTTATCCAATTCTGCCTTTGATAAATATTTATTCTGCGTCTTGAGACGCGCAGCAGATAGGTCACGTAAACGAATTTTAGCCATGGCTAATACACCACAGCCCTTACCCTGTCAACTGTTGTCGGACGACCCCCTCCCGTCTGGTGTTCCGCTAGAGTTACCCTCGGAGGAGAGGCGTGGGACGCAGTCCGCTACCTCCAAGAAGCGACCTGCATTCCACATCCCGTCGTCGCAGCCAAAGACTAGGAGGGCTTCCACGTCGTCACAACGCAGACTCCGCACCCCCAGGGCTACATCCACGTCGCAGGGGAAATCATCGAAGTCCAGCAGTACTTTCTCAGCCGAGATTGTTCCCGTTGCAGAGTTGGGCCTGTACGGCGGAAGAATGACGGCGGAAGAAGCGGCCAGTGTCGGCAACTATAACATCAGCGCAGATTAGCACGCAGGCTGAGGCACCTACACTGATGTCAGAGAATCGTCCTGAGGGTCCCGTCGCTACCATCATAGAGAAGGCAGCAACTACTTCAGCGCAGACCGTCCCAGACAACCTGATGAACCACATCATGAAGATGATGGAAGATCGCTACGGTCTTCGGAGGCCTTTAGAGCCATCGGGAAGATCGCTCACCCAGCCACCCCATACCATACCCGTGTAGGGCGACCCAGCCCGTTTGCATGTCTCCGTGTAGGGCAACCCAGCCCGCTAACGCGCCTCCACGAAGGGCGACCCAGCCCGTCTCTAAGCCTCCGCGAAGGGCGACCCAGCCAGCCTGCACGAAGGACCCCGATCCTAAGCAGTCACGGAAGGCTTCACGGAGGATGTCTGTATCACCTACGTCGGACCTTGATGAGAGAGGACGTTTCGCGAAGCAAGATCCTCTCATCCCATGATTTCGACTCAGACTCTCAACCTTCACGAAGGCCTTCACGAAGGTTAAGTGGCTCCAAGTCATCCTCATCTAGAAGATCATTAAGAGAGTCACCGAGAGCTTCGCGAAGCTACCAGCGTTCGCCAAGGAAGTCTTCACGAAGGTCACCTTATAGACGCCACTCGTCAGTCCGTTCACCACATCATTCTACTCGCCGATCTCCTTATCGATCACCTCATCGATCACCTCGTCGATCCACGTACAGATCATCAAGGACTCCACCTCAGTCACTATCGGAGGAGCATCAACACATTATCTGTGACCCGATGTCTGAAGATGAAGATGGTATCGTATTTTCCGACGCAGAAATAAGATATTGGATGGTGAATAGTCTGGAACTTTCCTCCCCGTCTAAGAACGAGAACTCAGCCCACACATATCTTATGAAGGAAGACGATGCTGACACAATCACCTTACCCCCGATTGACCCGATAGCAGTGGTGCCAGCTAATCTGGATACAGCCTTTAGTAAAGCCACGAAATCACAGACACCTCATGTGCCGCATTTCAACGCTAACAAGTTTGCAGGTCACAACATGGACCCTTTTTACAAGGCACAAGATATCGATGATAACTATAAGATGATCAGCGATGCCAAGTCCAAGACTTACAGAATAGATGACCGCAAGCTAGACCAGATGGAAACCATATCAAGGAGGATGTTTTTTGGTCTGAACAGATCAAGAACAGTCAACGAAACTCTCCTCACGAAGTTCAGAGACTCTACATCTGAGGATGATAGAATGATTTACTCGGCCCTCCTCATGCAGAAGAAGGACCAGCAGTTCCTTACGGATCACTTAACAGCACTATCCGCAGCTACTACTATGGCTCATCGTCAAGGTCTCCTCGCCTCCTGTAATTGGGGTGATCACTTCACCGCACCACTCTACACAGAACCGTGGTCTTCACCGTCCATCTTCGATGGTAACATAGACAAAGTCTCTAAAGAAGTCTCTAAAGACTCAAGAGAGGTACTCATGATAAAGTATATGGATACGCTAGCAAGTGTCATCAGACAAACTTCGCAGAGGTACTCAAAGGCAAATCGAAGTTCTCCGGTCTACAGAGAGCACGGGACAGGAAGATGGCCAGTGTAAGAGGAGCGAAAGAGTCTTTTCGCCGCCCATACGGCCATTACAGAGGAGCATCGGGAAGAGGCAGGTCATCCAGAGGCTCCCGCAATTATAAACGATGAAGGACAGGTTCGGAACGACTGGAGTCTTCCACCCCCAGCCGTTCCAGTACAACCATCACAAGTGGGTGGACGCCTTCAACTGCACTGGGAAAACTGGGGATTCCTAGAGGATCCATATGTCTCCAACATCTTACAGCACGGATATCGCATACAACTACAGGCCACGCCTCCGCTGACAGTCATCCCTCCGAGGTTCGACTTCCAGGCTCTACAACTACCAAAGTTAAGAGAAGCGGTATCAATGCTCCTAACCAAGCAGGCCGTAGAAGTACTGGACCAAGTAAACATCGAACCAGGCTTCTACTCCCCAGTTTTCCTAGTGCCCAAGAAAAATTCCAAAGAAAAGTTTCGTCTCATCTACAATATGAGCACGTTCAACAGAGACTATCTACACAAACCGCCAGCATTTCGCATGATACACTTACCACAACTACGGCACTTAATTCGTCCCAGAGACTACATGGCCAGCATAGATCTGCAAGACGCATATCTACACATCCCAATACATCCCGGCTCCAGGAAATACCTTTGGTTTACACTAGACGGGCTGCATTACCAATGGAAAGTACTACCTTTCGGAATCTCATCGGCCCCCTGGTTATTCACAAGAGTGACGAAACCTATCGTCTCTTACCTACATCGTCAAGAACTACGCAGTGCATTCTACCTCGACGACGGGATACAAGTGGATCCAGATTCACAGCGTATCAGACTACAGTTAAACTTTATCATCAAGCTACTAACGCAGCTAGGATGGTTAGTAAATCTACTCAAGTCGGACCTAGAACCCATGCACGATCTGCAATTTCTAGGCATTCGATTTCTCACGGCGCAGAATCGTATCGTCGTACCGGAGGTACGATGGATCAAGATCCAACAGATAATCCCTCAAGCCTTACTCTCTCCGCTACCACTACGACAATGGCAGAGCCTGTTGGGTCTACTCACGTCAGCTCAAGACATGACAGTCAGAGGCAGACTACAGTTACGTCCGTTACAGGTCCTCATCAACTCTCATCTCGGCGACACCTCAACCATTCAGTCTACCGAATCACGTCAAACCTCACCTACTATGGTGGACCAAGAGATCGAATGTTTGCGATGGAATCTGTTTAATAGAGCCGAATTGAAAACACATCTCTATGTAGACGCGTACGCTCCAAGGTTGGGAGCAATCCACCGCCAACAGGGACGGCATCAGGGTTATGGAGCCAACAAGAGAGCAAACTACACATAAACTTGCTAGAAATGCAAGCAGTAGTAAACGCGATACATCATTGGAGCAACTTACTAAAGAATGCCAAATTGATGATTAACACAGATAATTCAACAGTGGCGTTTTATGTGAACAAACAAGGCTCAACCAGGTCCCCGAACCTATTGACTCTATGTTTTCAATTGTTCGATCTAATCGACAATCTCAACATACATGTCAGAGCATGTCACATTCCAGGAGCAAAAAATGTAATAGCAGACGCTCTCTCTCGGCCACACCTACCATCGCCGACAGAATGGATGCTCCATACAGAGATATTCGCACAAATTATCAAGAAAATAGGAGCTCCACTTATAGACCTATTTGCCACTTTCGCTTCAACAATCAGCTGACAACATTCGTGTATCACCAGTCCCAGACCCACTAGCATGGGCAGCGGACGCACTAAGCATATCGTGGGAAGGACTCAATGCGTCGCGTGCCCCACCGCCAGCGTTAATCCCACAGGTGTGACAGAAAATCAAGCAAACTCGAGCCTCAAATGATTTTGGTCAGCCCTACTGGCCAGCGAGAGCGTGGTTTCCAACTCTTATTCAAGAAATCGGAAACCAATACTACAACTTCCAAAGCTTGAATCTACTAATACATCCTCACACCAAACAAGCGCATCGGAGCCAGAAGCATTCCAACTTCATGTATGGACTGTATTAAGGCATGTCTAAACAAGAGAGGTTATTCAGCCAGAGCGCGAAAAGCAGTCACGCTTTGCCTTACGTAACTCCACTCGTGGCTTGTAATGATGACAAGTGGCACAGTTTTGAAAATTATGCTGCAAAGAAAGGATTTACAGCTAGAAATGCTACACATCCACAAGTGGCTGACTACTTATGTTACCTACGTCAGACTAAACGTCTAAAAGGCTCAACATTATCAACATATCTCGCAGCTTTAAGCTCTGTCATAACTATGAGAACGGTTGTCAAGCTGACGAAGACCCCAGAGTTACTCGCCTTACTACGCGTGCATTCCGATTGAGGATCAGAAACAGAGGTTTCGCGCTCCAGCATGGGATCAAAATATAGTGCTCCAACACCTCACAAGTGAGGCATATGAACCACTGGAATCAACATCATTCGAATTTCTGACAGAGAAAACTTTGTTCCTGTTATCCCTAGCAACAGCAGCCAGGATGTCAGAGATTCACGCACTAGATTACGAGAGAACACGCTTTGATGACAATCATAACATCGTGCATATAGGACTACGCTGGGATTTCATCGCCAAGAACCAGTTGCCAGGTCAACCAGACAGATTATTCCACGTCCCAGCTCTCTCGTCAATTCTCGGACCTCATGATACACTGGATCTATCATTATGCCCAGTCAGAGCACTGAAAATATATCTACGACGTTCCAATCCGAGGCGACATAAACTCAACGATTATTCATCCCTCTATCGACAGCTACACAGACTGAAGTCTCACGTACAACTATCTCGATATGGATCAGGACTGTCATACTACGTGCCTACAAGGCTGCAGGACTCGACCCTCCAAGAGCATCTAATCCCCATGAAATTAGAGCGCTAGCTTCAACACTTGCTCTACACGGCAATTGCTCTTTGAATACCATCATGGAGGGCTGCTTCTGGAGATCTGATATGGTGTTTGCCAACCACTATCTGAGAGATATCACCACCGAGGACGTCTCAGGCATTCACCATTTCGGTCCCATGGTCCTCGCTCAGCAGTTGACAGTCCCTCGGAGAAGATAAGTCAATCTTACGAGATTTTTACTGCTTATTTCACAACAGTACTATATAGCTAATAACTCCATGAAGTTTATGCTATTATATATTTTAGCTTAAGTTCAATCACAATCTTAAGCTCAGTACTATGTTTATTATATCATAATAATATCATTAGCTAACAACTCTATGAAGTTTATGCTATTATATTATCAAGCTTAAGACTATCTTAGTCTTAAGCATAGTATTCATGTTGTAAATACTTTATTTATGTTTATTATAATATATATTGTAGTAACCCATATATGGCAGCTGATAAGTCTAACAGCAGGAATTTATCAATTCAGTGCCTTTATGAAGTTCCCATAGGGGTTATTACAGTTATTACAGTTATTACAGTTATCAAATCACTAATTATCTAAATCCAAAGTATTCTGTATTCCCACCTCCGTATCCGTAGGATTCTACAAGCAAAAGAGCATGAGTCAGGATAAGGAAAAATATGTAATTTTCTGAATAAAATTGATATTTTATACTTATCCTGACTCATGAGGTAAGCCCTCCCATCCTCCCCACATAACACTTTGGATTTCCCTGAAAATTCAAGTGTTGGGCTCGCTATATAAGGAGAGAGTGAGGCATGTGGCGGGAGGTGGCGCCCTTGTTCCCGCACAAAGGAGTGGGATGGAGATAACTCTTGGTGAGTACTAATTAGTGATTTTATATTGAGGGGAGCTTCAATTGGGAGATACAAGTGTTCCACTGTGTTCGCAAGAAGAAGAAGACAAGCAAAAGAGCATGGGTCAGGATAAGTATAAAATATCAATTTTATTCAGAAAATTACATTATGATGAGGCTTTCTGTTAATATTGCCGATTCTTAGCAAGAAAGTGATAAAGAAGGGTCTACCTGTCTTTGTAATTACTGTTTGAAATGTTTCTTCAGAAAATCTCACTGATGGACATTGAGGATACTGAGATTGAGATCCCAGATGAGGAAGAGATGGACTTCAATGACTTTGACTCCTACTACTGCGGAGAAAGCACAACTGGACCAATACCGGTAATCATCACTGTCTTTCTCTGATCTACCTAACAATGTTTGTGTACAGGGCAAGCTTGAGCTAAATGGCTTACTACACAAAAAGGGAAAAGGAGCTTTATCTGTAGATTTTGCATTAATAGACAAGCCACACTAAATCCAAGAGTATGACATATTTTATGTAAACAACACTAAATTACCATTACATGTTGAGTCTTACACTAGAAACCTTGTTTCTCGACATTGAACACTTGAAAAATAATTTTAAAATCCATAAATATGGAGTTTAGTATGTTTTAAGTGAGCATGTTGTAAGAGTCAGGTGAGTATGTTGTAAGTAGGAATGGGTGTACTAGACTACAAGTTACATATGACAACCAGCTTACCTCATGAACAATGTAACTGATTCCAGACTACCAGCTTGAAGCGGACACAGACTGAATTCAACATGCATGTGGCGCTCAGCGAGGAGGGGAGCATTCTGAGTGGGCATGAGCCTAGCAAGCCGCCCGGCACCGGGAAGGTGAGGAACGTATTGTATCAACTGATTTCGTAAAACAAGTGGCAGAATTCTAAATCCAAATCTATGTTGACTTCACCTATTTTGTGCTTCTAAAGGTTCCAAGGGCAGGTAGACTAGTGGTTAAAACGTTTGTGCGTATGATGAAATACAATGTACCCTCTCTATTCACCAGCTGTTGACCTATGCTTAAGTAAGAACATCAAACTGGTGTCTGTGATACTCACTCATCATGAAAGTATAGTACTCTGAAGTATATAGTTGGAATGAGCTGCAGGCATGGTGTGTTGTGTGTCTAGATACATTGAATCAGCAACAATTAGAACTCGACTCGCCAACTCAGACTTGTGTCCATCTTAAGAGTCAGGAGTCTTTGAACTGGGCTGACTTTTTCTGCTGTAATGTGTCATCTTTTTGAGGCAAGGGAGTAAAGTGACTGTATAAGTCCACTGTCCACCCCAGCCAAACTGGGCTGGACTTTTCTAGCACCAACAGTGGCTTATAGGACAAACAAAATGGTGGCTTCTCATCAAGACTATCTGATAGATAATCAAGATCTTTATTTCAGTAAAACGGGTCATATTCTGAGAGTGCATCAGATCACTTAAAGGCCTTGATTAAAGTCATGGAAAGATTTAAAAAAATTGGTTGATGCCCAGTTTAATAATGGGTCACATGCTCTTCAAATCCTGTAATTGACAACAATTGACAGACCAGACAACATGTGAATAAAATGTCAATTTGATTGGATTGTGCAGAGACTTTTTTATCCAGTCAAAATATGTCTCCATAGTTCCAGTCTAGTTTGTCAAGGGTGGAACTGGACATTTACTCCCTGAGAAGATAACCTGTATCATATTGGGTACATATGTCTTGTTCCTCTCCAGTCCAACATGTCCATCTCACGGATGTGGGATCCCCTCAATATCCTCAACTGGGCAGATGAAAAGACTCCATCGTGGAAGGAGGACCGGGCATCAACAGCAGGGACAACACGGGGAGAAGTCAAGAAGACAGCTACCTCAACTTCTGCATCTACATCTACAAGTAGGGGAAAACCAAAGTCAGCCAAGGTTGGTCTACAGTAATGACACAGGTGCTGTATAGAGCTTACAATAGAGTTAAAATATGTTTTTAAATAAATCCTGCATGGGAATGGTATTTCATACATTTAGTATGTAATGTCTTCCTCAGGGGCTTGTTCTAAGGAGCCATGTATAGTAAAGGTATCCAACATGGGAAGCCATGTCATTGAACTGTCAGCACTTCAGGATGTCTGTGGGAAAGTGTTCAGAATATGTAACTTTCTATGAGATAAGATTTTCTAAGATATTTGCAATTTAATCTGATTGTCCAAATATAGTAAAAAGTAGGTCAATGTGCATTTTATTGCAGAGTGTCTCACGGCAGAATCCATAGAGAAAATACTGACACTTACACTCATAGTTATTGTGTCCTATTTGACGTTGAGTGTGTGAAGTTTGGCTTGCTTGCTTCATATATGCAATGGGCTCTCTCAAACTATGTTCTCAAAGGACTCCCTATACACAACACAAAACCATACCAGCACATTGGCAGTGGGCATACTTTACTTGCCCGTAGGGCCTGTAAGTCTCGCTGGGGTGCTACTTCTGGTCCTAAGCTGGTTCGTGGCTCTTTGCTCGTGCCAACTTGCGAAATGTGAGATGGGGCCCAGCTTACTTCCGATACTAGATTTCTGGTGACAGGCGTATATATTCAAGAACCAGTTCTGGTTCCAAATTGCGCGACCGCCAAGTATGACTTCACTAGACCAGACCAAGTGTACAACCATGCTTGGCTGTCACAGCTGTTGACAGTTGTAATAATTGGCAAATTTGGGGATGGATAGATCGGAAATTTGTTATTCCTGCATGGATTCTTGGTTCCTTACTGTCCACTGACAACCATGAGACCATTCGAAAAGGTATGAATAGTTGTTTGTCACCAGAAGTACTAAGGGCTCGTGAAGTGCCGTGACCTAGTTACTGGCCCTATTGCTGATGTGGCTGCCATCTGCTGTATAATGTCTGAAGTTGCTGTACCACTTCCTCCTCTGCCCCATGTTACAGTCAGCGGCCCAGGACAGTGACGAGGAGTGGGACAAGAAGCTGGACCAGCTGCACCAGGATCTCACTCAGGAGGAGGAACAGAAGAAGAAGAAGAGGGCTAAGATGGCCACTGCAAAGAAAGGGTCAGAAAACTAACATCCTCATCCTTACCCATTAATTTCCGTTGTCTGTGGATGAAATATAAATTTGACACATATGTTTTAAACTAATCAAGAAATTAAAAAGTATAAAGTTATGAAAACACATACAGAATTAATATTGTACTTAGTTATGACCCTTTGCGGGTTTTTTTCGTAAAAGGCAACAACGTCAACTGAGTCTAGGGTTTGTTTTAATGCCAAACTTATCCATTTTAGGAAACTTATTTTCAGTAGCAACACATTTCATATATTTACTCATGACAAATATTTACAATTGTGGGGATATTGATGACCTTGCCGTTGGTTTACAATTGTAAGCTTGCCAACATGGCAGGGAATATAGATTAGTCTTCTTCTCCGTGACTGAAATTAGTTGACACATTCAGCAGGAAGAAAACAGTTTCACATGTTCCATAAACATAATTATTTTAACAGTGAACCACCACATTCATGATAATATTTCTATAGAAGCAAAGTTAGAAATAATTTCCATTTGTAATTATCATATATACTTATAAATTAAATCCCTTGTTTTCACACCTCCAGTGAAGAAGTCTGTAGACAATACATTTGATAAGAATAAGAAATGCCAGTTTAACCTGTGATGTACACTGACAGCAACGGCAAGACAACAAACGAGGGGGGGGAGACGACCTGTTCTGCTCCGATGAAGAGTGGGCTACGGAGGGTCTGGAGGATGCAAAGGGAGGGAAGTCAGCCGGGAAGAAAACCTTCACGAAGACCCCAGCCCGCGCTGCAGGGGCCACTGCACAGCCTAGGTTCAACCCCAGAGAAGATCCCAAACTCAGGAGGGCAAGGTGAGGGTCATCAGGGGAGCATAACTCTGGATGCATGAAATTTCCTTGTAATTTGGGAGTAGGTGTCATTTCTGTAACTGCTGTTGTTAGTGTTCAGTAGTATTTGATTTTTGAGATCTCAACCATCGAAAAAAATCAAGGTATACATATTTTTACACTAGATGAATACTGATATCAAACAATGTGCCAACATGGTTTCTGAACAGATCATGATGTTATGTAATCTGATGGAGGTCAGGGGAGAATTAGTTCAGTGGGTTTATCTGTATCTCACACAATCTCATGGTTAACACTTTCAGTGATCTTATCAATTTTACTGACAAATGATGTTTGTCTTCAGGAAAACATCCTTCAATCTGGACGACATATCCACAGACGACGAGGGAGGGAAGGAGACTAAGGCCACCAAGCAAAATGTTCAGGTCAAGGGTCAACCACTGGCGTCTGGGAAACAGACCAACACGAAAGATGATCCAAAGAAGGAACTCCCTGAAAGGTCAGGATGATAAATGAAAATATTTGCTCATTTGCTGAACTGAAAAAGTTTTCTGCCTCGGTTCGAGATTAAGGTATTCATCTGGAAGCATTATGCTTTGCAGGATGTTTCCTTTACACAGGAGATCCTAACAACCAAGTGTTAATATTAACTAAAACACATTAATTAGATGTTTATTGCCTAGTCATGTAAAACTTGTTGACATCAATGTTATAAACGTCTGTGGCTATAGTTAAGAAGCAATATGATTACTATTGGTCATCAGCTAACACAAAGTAATGTTGACCCGGTGATGGTCATGCAGGCTGACGAGGTTACTGATTACTCTTCTGTGGAAGTTGCACCAAGTAACATCTGTTTTGTGCATTCATCGGTTGTGTCTTGCTCTCCCTCCAGGAAGGCCAGCACCACATCCAGTATCCTCAAGAAGCGAGACTCGTATGGCCGAGCATACAGCGCTGGAAGCAGCTTGAAGGAGATCTCGTTTATGAAGCAGCCTAGCATCATGTCGGAGAAGTCCAAAAGCAACATGTCTGCCATCTGGAAGAGTAAGTGTCATCTGTAGTACTGTGGAAACTTCCTGGAGAAAATGTCTTGACAATATTTCTGACACATCATGGCTGTGTCTGTAACTGTATCGTGTTTCTTAGTCTGTGACAATGATTAGTGTTTATGAATTGAGTATGTAACTATTACTTGTCTGAAAGACTTGTGTCTCTAACTATCACTTGTTTCCTAGTCTATGGTAATGTGACTGACTGCATTCTCAACCAGTATTTAAGATAGGAAAACGAACTAAAGAAGTCCAGCATGAATATTTTGACTGTGTCTGTAAGGCTTGTGTCTCAAACTATGACGTGTTTCCTTATCTGTAACAATTTTTCTGTGAAGGGAACTACTACTCCTCCACCAACCACACCATGGAGTCAGAAGCTACGTGTATGCTGCCATCGTGGTGCGTGTATGTGGCATACGTCCTCAGTCTCCTCATCAGCTCTGTCTCCATCATCATCGTCCTGCTGTATGGCAACCAGTTTGGGTCGGAGGTGTCACTCAAGTGGCTGTTGTCTCTCTTCCTTGCATTCTGTTGCTCGGCCCTCGTCATCGAGCCAACCAAGGTCAGTAAAGTATTTATGATATGTGTACAGTTAATACTTGCCCAAACATACTTGTCATATTTTGCCTGAAAATCTACAATATATTGAGTCATTTGTTACATGCAAAGCTCACTTGTGAACCAGATGATTTTCTACTTTTTGTTGTCTTATTCATGCTAGGCATTACGTATGTTTAAATCTTTATCTCCCTGCCCTCACAACTGTGTTGTGAGTTGTTGTCAGGGAAGGCCTTGTTCAGTATACCCTAAGTTAACTACTCCAGATACCTATATGCTGGAGTTGTGGTCATGCTGTAACACAGGTAGAGTTGTGGAGGTTGCAGCCGTGTGTTGGTGTGTTGTAGGTGGCGCTGTTCAGTATACCCTAAGTTAACTACTCCAGATACCTGTATGCTGGAGTCATGCTGTAACACAGGTAGAGTTGTGGAGGTTGCAGCCATGTGTTGGTGTGTTGTAGGCGTTGCAGGTGGTGCTGTTCAGTATACCCTAAGTTAACTACTCCAGATACCTGTATGCTGGAGTGGTGGTCATGCTGTAACACAGGTAGAGTTGTGGAGGTTGCAGCCATGTGTTGGTGTGTTGTAGGTGTTGCTGGTGGCACTGTTCAGTATACCCTAAGTTAACTACTCCAGATACCTGTATGCTGGAGTCATGCTGTAACACAGGTAGAGTTGTGGAGGTTGCAGCCATGTGTTGGTGTGTTGTAGGCGTTGCAGGTGGCGCTGTTCAGTATACCCTAAGTTAACTACTCCAGATACCTGTATGCTGGAGTCATGCTGTAACACAGGTAGAGTTGTGGAGGTTGCAGCCATGTGTTGGTGTGTTGTAGGTGTTGCAGGTGGCGCTGTTCAGTATACCCTAAGTTAACTACTCCAGATACCTGTATGCTGGAGTGGTGGTCATGCTGTAACACAGGTAGAGTTGTGGAGGTTGCAGCCATGTGTTGGTGTGTTGTAGGTGGCGCTGTTCAGTATACCCTAAGTTAACTACTCCAGATACCTGTATGCTGGAGTGGTGGTCATACTGTAACACAGGTAGAGTTGTGGAGGTTGCAGCCATGTGTTGGTGTGTTGTAGGTGTTGCTGGTGGCGCTGTTCAGTATACCCTAAGTTAACTACTCCAGATACCTGTATGCTGGAGTGGTGGTCATGCTGTAACACAGGTAGAGTTGTGGAGGTTGCAGCCATGTGTTGGTGTGTTGTAGGTGTTGCTGGTGGCGCTGTTCAGTATACCCTAAGTTAACTACTCCAGATACCTGTATGCTGGAGTGGTGGTCATGCTGTAACACAGGTAGAGTTGTGGAGGTTGCAGCCATGTGTTGGTGTGTTGTAGTTGTTGCTGGTGGCTGTTCAGTGTACCCTAAGTTAACTACTCCAGATACCCTGTATGCTTGAGTGGTGGTCATGCTGTAACACAGGTAGAGTTGTGGAGGTTGCAGCCATGTGTTGGTGTGTTGTAGGTGGCTGTTCAGTATACCCTAAGTTAACTACTCCAGATACCTGTATGCTGGAGTGGTGGTCATACTGTAACACAGGTAGAGTTGTGGAGGTTGCAGCCATGTGTTGGTGTGTTGTAGGTGTTGCTGGTGGCGCTGTTCAGTATACCCTAAGTTAACTACTCCAGATACCTGTATCCTGGAGTTGTGGTCATGCTGTAACACAGGTAGAGTTGTGGAGGTTGCAGCCATGTGTTGGTGTGTTGTAGGTGTTGCTGGTGGCTGTTCAGTATACCCTAAGTTAACTACTCCAGATACCTGTATCCTGGAGTTGTGGTCATGCTGTAACACAGGTAGAGTTGTGGAGGTTGCAGCCATGTGTTGTGTGTTGTAGGTGGTGCTGGTGGTGGCTGTTCAGTATACCCTAAGTTAACTACTCCAGATACCTGTATGCTGGAGTGGTGGTCATGCTGTAACACAGGTAGAGTTGTGGAGGTTGCAGCCATGTGTTGGTGTGTTGTAGGTGTTGCTGGTGGTGCTGTTCAGTATACCCTAAGTTAACTACCCAGATACCTGTATGCTGGAGTGGTGGTCATGCTGTCACACAGGTAGAGTTGTGGAGGTTGCAGCCATGTGTTGGTGTGTTGTAGGTGTTGCTGGTGGCTGTTCAGTATACCCTAAGTTAACTACTCCAGATACCTGTATGCTGGAGTGGTGGTCATGCTGTAACACAGGTAGAGTTGTGGAGGTTGCAGCCATGTGTGGTGGTGTGTTGTAGGTGGCTGTTCAGTATACCCTAAGTTAACTACTCCAGATACCTGTATGCTGGAGTGGTGGTCATGCTGTAACACAGGTAGAGTTGTGGAGGTTGCAGCCATGTGTTGGTGTGTTGTAGGTGTTGCTGGTGGCGCTGTTCAGTATACCCTAAGTTAACTACTCCAGATACCTGTATGCTGGAGTGGTGGTCATGCTGTAACACAGGTAGAGTTGTGGAGGTTGCAGCCATGTGTTGGTGTGTTGTAGTTGTTGCTGGTGGCTGTTCAGTGTACCCTAAGTTAACTACTCCAGATACCTGTATGCTGGAGTGGTGGTCATGCTGTAACACAGGTAGAGTTGTGGAGGTTGCAGCCATGTGTTGGTGTGTTGTAGGTGGCGCTGTTCAGTATACCCTAAGTTAACTACTCCAGATACCTGTATGCTGGAGTGGTGGTCATACTGTAACACAGGTAGAGTTGTGGAGGTTGCAGCCATGTGTTGGTGTGTTGTAGGTGTTGCTGGTGGCGCTGTTCAGTATACCCTAAGTTAACTACTCCAGATACCTGTATCCTGGAGTTGTGGTCATGCTGTAACACAGGTAGAGTTGTGGAGGTTGCAGCCATGTGTTGGTGTGTTGTAGGTGTTGCTGGTGGCGCTGTTCAGTATACCCTAAGTTAACTACTCCAGATACCTGTATCCTGGAGTTGTGGTCATGCTGTAACACAGGTAGAGTTGTGGAGGTTGCAGCCATGTGTTGGTGTGTTGTAGGTGTTGCTGGTGGGCTGTTCAGTATACCCTAAGTTAACTACTCCAGATACCTGTATGCTGGAGTGGTGGTCATGCTGTAACACAGGTAGAGTTGTGGAGGTTGCAGCCATGTGTTGGTGTGTTGTAGGTGTTGCTGGTGGTGCTGTTCAGCATACCCTAGTTAACTACTCCAGATACCTGTATGCTGGAGTGGTGGTCATGCTGTAACACAGGTAGAGTTGTGGAGGTTGCAGCCATGTGTTGGTGTGTTGTAGGTGTTGCTGGTGGCTGTTCAGTATACCCTAAGTTAACTACTCCAGATACCTGTATGCTGGAGTGGTGGTCATGCTGTAACACAGGTAGAGTTGTGGAGGTTGCAGCCATGTGTTGGTGTGTTGTAGGTGTTGCAGGTGGTGCTGTTCAGTATACCCTAAGTTAACTACTCCACATACCTGTATGCTGGAGTGGTGGTCATGCTGTAACACAGGTAGAGTTGTGGAGGTTGCAGCCATGTGTTGGTGTGTTGTAGGCGTTGCAGGTGGTGCTGTTCAGTATACCCTAAGTTAACTACTCCAGATACCTGTATGCTGGAGTGGTGGTCATGCTGTAACACAGGTAGAGTTGTGGAGGTTGCAGCCATGTGTTGGTGTGTTGTAGGTGTTGCTGGTGGCACTGTTCAGTATACCCTAAGTTAACTACCCAGATACCTGTATGCTGGAGTGGTGGTCATGCTGTAACACAGGTAGAGTTGTGGAGGTTGCAGCCATGTGTTGGTGTGTTGTGTTGTAGGTGGCGCTGTTCAGTATACCCTAAGTTAACTACTCCAGATACCTGTATGCTGGAGTGGTGGTCATGCTGTAACACAGGTAGAGTTGTGGAGGTTGCAGCCATGTGTTGGTGTGTTGTAGTTGTTGCTGGTGGGCTGTTCAGTGTACCCTAAGTTAACTACCCAGATACCTGTATGCTGGAGTGGTGGTCATGCTGTAACACAGGTAGAGTTGTGGAGGTTGCAGCCATGTGTTGGTGTGTTGTAGGTGGGCTGGCTGTTCAGTATACCCTAAGTTAACTACTCCAGATACCTGTATGCTGGAGTGGTGGTCATACTGTAACACAGGTAGAGTTGTGGAGGTTGCAGCCATGTGTTGGTGTGTTGTAGGTGTTGCTGGTGGTGCTGTTCAGTATACCCTAAGTTAACTACTCCAGATACCTGTATCCTGGAGTTGTGGTCATGCTGTAACACAGGTAGAGTTGTGGAGGTTGCAGCCATGTGTTGGTGTGTTGTAGGTGTTGCTGGTGGCTGTTCAGTATACCCTAAGTTAACTACTCCAGATACCTGTATCCTGGAGTTGTGGTCATGCTGTAACACAGGTAGAGTTGTGGAGGTTGCAGCCATGTGTTGGTGTGTTGTAGGTGTTGCTGGTGGCTGTTCAGTATACCCTAAGTTAACTACTCCAGATACCTGTATGCTGGAGTGGTGGTCATGCTGTAACACAGGTAGAGTTGTGGAGGTTGCAGCCATGTGTTGGTGTGTTGTAGGTGTTGCTGGTGGTGCTGTTCAGTATACCCTAAGTTAACTACTCCAGATACCTGTATGCTGGAGTGGTGGTCATGCTGTAACACAGGTAGAGTTGTGGAGGTTGCAGCCATGTGTTGGTGTGTTGTAGGTGTTGCTGGTGGCGCTGTTCAGTATACCCTAAGTTAACTACTCCAGATACCTGTATGCTGGAGTGGTGGTCATGCTGTAACACAGGTAGAGTTGTGGAGGTTGCAGCCATGTGTTGGTGTGTTGTAGGTGTTGCAGGTGGTGCTGTTCAGTATACCCTAAGTTAACTACTCCAGATACCTGTATGCTGGAGTGGTGGTCATGCTGTAACACAGGTAGAGTTGTGGAGGTTGCAGCCATGTGTTGGTGTGTTGTAGGCGTTGCAGGTGGTGCTGTTCAGTATACCCTAAGTTAACTACCCAGATACCTGTATGCTGGAGTGGTGGTCATGCTGTAACACAGGTAGAGTTGTGGAGGTTGCAGCCATGTGTTGGTGTGTTGTAGGTGTTGCTGGTGGCAC